GAGAATGTTCTTCAGGGAGAGGTCCCCGACTGGCTGCGACTTGAGGCAGCGGCAATGAACAGTCTCACCTCGGCGGAGGCGGCGGCGGGCTGGGCTGCGGCGGCGGCGGCGGCAGCAGCGGCAGCCACCGTGGTGGTGACAGTGGCGCCGGCCGACGGCCCCGCCCACGGAAGCGCCAGAAGGAGCGGCTGGCAGGCAGAGAGCATCATCGCGGCTCCGGCGGAGGAGAGGAGGGCGGCGATCCCGAGCGTGCAGGCGAGCTCGAAGGCGGGCGCTCGGACGCCAAGAAAAGAGACGCCGTCGACGACCTGCTCAACACAGACACAGAGCGAGGGCTCAGTGCTGGGCGTGCGGCGGCAGCGGTGAGCGGGCGAGCAAGGCTGCGCACCAGGTCGCCCGTGCTGTGGTATCCATCGGCCAGCAGAACGGCGCTCCCAGAGAGCGCCCCCACACCCGTCTTGAGCACCGCCAGAGCAACATTCCCACAGGCTCCGAGGAGGACAACCCGCGACGAGGCGCTCAGGCCGCCAGGCTCATGGACGTGAGGCTGGTGCAGGCGGAGGGCGGCGCTGCTCGCGAGGCTCGCCGTAGCAGACACCGGAGCGAAGCGAGTTGTGGGCGTCGAAGGGAGTAAGAAGACCATGCTAACGACTTTTCGAGGCACTAGCGCGCCTCGATGCTGGCACCATTAGGTCACTCGCAGGTGCGAAGCCAGTGCCTCGTTTTGAGGAAAAGAATTCATAAATCCAGCCGTGGGTGATATGCCGTTCGATGTGTTCCGCGGGTGCCCGATTCGTTTCCGATTCGTGTCCTGTCCCGGGAGAATTTTACAACCCAACTCCCTCACACGACACTGGGCACGGGACTGGCGCGCACTGGCACTAACACAGGTACACCACGGGAGCCGCCTGAGCGACCCCTGCGAGGGCGGCGAGGCACTTAGCTCCGTGCACCCGCCCGCCCCCGCCACAGGCAAGCTCATTCACAATCTGCTCTGCGATTGCCGTGTGAAGAACGACCGAGATGCGCTGCTTCTGCAGCCCCAGCCAGTTCTTAGTGGTCCAAGTCACCTCATCGAGGTATTGGGCCCGCGTCAGATTGTTCTGTAGCACGTTCGCCGCCTTCCGGAGGATCTCACGGACCCCCCTCCCGAACCCGCCGAACGATTCGAACAGCAGCAGCTGCACGTCAACGTCCTTGTCTTCCCTGGCGTAGCGATAGTCCCCGCTGTAGGACGGTATGCGGCGGTCGCCGCCCACCACCCTGCCCTGAGCGTCGGAAGGAGGGCCGCCTAAGGAAGGTTCCGAGAATGTTCTTCAGGGAGAGGTCCCCGACTGGCTGCGACTTGAGGCAGCGGCAATGAACAGTCTCACCTCGGCGGAGGCGGCGGCGGGCTGGGCTGCGGCGGCGGCGGCGGCAGCAGCGGCAGCCACCGTGGTGGTGACAGTGGCGCCGGCCGACGGCCCCGCCCACGGAAGCGCCAGAAGGAGCGGCTGGCAGGCAGAGAGCATCATCGCGGCTCCGGCGGAGGAGAGGAGGGCGGCGATCCCGAGCGTGCAGGCGAGCTCGAAGGCGGGCGCTCGGACGCCAAGAAAAGAGACGCCGTCGACGACCTGCTCAACACAGACACAGAGCGAGGGCTCAGTGCTGGGCGTGCGGCGGCAGCGGTGAGCGGGCGAGCAAGGCTGCGCACCAGGTCGCCCGTGCTGTGGTATCCATCGGCCAGCAGAACGGCGCTCCCAGATAGCGCCCCCACACATGTCTTGAGCACCGCCAGAGCAACATTCCCACAGGCTCCGAGGAGGACAACCCGCGACGAGGCGCTCAGGCCGCCAGGCTCATGGACGTGAGGCTGGTGCAGGCGGAGGGCGGCGCTGCTCGCGAGGCTCGCCGTAGCAGACACCGGAGCGAAGCGAGTTGTGGGCGTCGAAGGGAGTAAGAAGACCATGCTAACGACTTTTCGAGGCACTAGCGCGCCTCGATGCTGGCACCATTAGGTCACTCGCAGGTGCGAAGCGAGTGCCTCGTTTTGAGGAAAAGAATTCATAAATCGAGCCGGTGATATGGTGCCCGATTCGTTTCCGATTCGTGTCCTGTCCCGGGAGAATTTTACAACCCAACTCCCTCGCACGACACTGCTCACTGGGCACGGGACTGGCGCGCACTTACTTGAGCACTTGAGCACTGGATAGGGTCGAATCCGCATGGTACGGGACCCCTCGATCGTCTCGCCCTCCCTCGCTGGTGTGCTCATTGGGGGGGGTCATAACAAACACGGTACAGGATCGAGGTGCACGCTGCCGAGGCAGTGTCGTCCCCCCTCTCCCCGTCGGTGATGGCGGTGTGACCGATCGAGCTACAAGAGGAGCTTGGCGCGCACTGGCACTAACACAGGTACACCACGGGAGCCGCCTGGGAAGCCTCGACCAAAGGCGCCCAACTTTAATCAGTGACTCATTCCGGGGCCGTATACCAGGTGCGCCCGCGGCGCGCTCTCGGCGAAATTAGCCATTCTACGCGCTCTCCGTGACGTATTTTGAGAGAGAGAGATTTTGTTTGCGTATTTTGCGTCATTCGTAATGATGTGGTGTCCGTCTCTCCCCCGTGTGTCTGACCGAGCTTCTCGGAAGCTACGCCGCCTCCGGCGGCGCTAGAGGGGGGGGGCCCATGACCCCGGCAAGGTGAGGACCCCCCCCGGTGGGGCCGGAACCCTGGAGGTCGTTGGTTGTACAGGGATTCCCAACCGCGAGCCCGAGGGCGGAGGGATCCGTACCGGGCCAAGCAAGCGGCCGGGCCGCCTCGCTCCACACCCTGCTTTCGCGCCAGCACCAGGCCGAGCTGCACACGCTCGCCACATCTTCAATCAGATATGCTCGGCGTCGCGCTCCTCGCAACCCTCGTCGCGCGAGCCGCGGCGCACGGCGCCGTCTCGTGGCCGCGCCCGCGGAACGCGATCGACCACGAGGACGCTGCGGCGCAGGCGAACGCGACCTACCCGTACCGCGGGCAGGCGTGCCCGTCTCCCGATGGGCCCGGGCGCACAACGGGCGTGCTCGGCCAGGCTTGCTTCTGGTTCTCGAACGGCTGCGCCATCGGCTGCGCCTCGTGCGACGGGAAGAGCCGAGGGCCTATCCCGTCGAGCGGCGACCCCCGCTGGAGGCGCAAGTTCGACCTCTGCGGAGCAGCGGCGCGAGCGACCGTCTGCGATCCGAGGCTCCGGACGGTCAACACCGGCGCGGCTTGCGGCTCGGAGGAGGACTGGTACTATTACTCGCCATGGAGAGCGCCAGGAGCGGCGCCAGTCTTTGACGCGTGCGGCATGGCGGGAGGCACGCCAGTGGCGGGCAAGTTTGGCGGGCACTACTCGGCGACGGCGCACGCAAAGCAGGGCGACCTGGGCTCGAAGACGCTGCGCAAGGCCGCCCCGTCCGTGGCCCTAGAGGCTGAGTCTTCCACCGTATTCCGCGGTAGTCCTTCTCTTTGTGGCCGGTGTGACCGCGTGCCTCGTTGTGCGGTATTCCTTCCCTCCGCGACCTCGGCGTTCCTGACGCAGGTCCGTGACGTGGACCGCCGGCCAGACGGTGGAGGTCGCCTGGACGGTGCTCGCGAACCACGGCGGCGGGTATCAGTACCGGCTGTGCAGGGCGTCGGAGCCTCTGACCGAGGCGTGCTTCCAGCGACTTCCCCTCCGGTTTGTGGGGCGGCAGAGCCTGCTCTGGGACCGCAAGCCCGGTGATTGATTGATTGAGTGCCATCTCTCTAGTCTACCCATGTATGTGCGTCGCTCCGCACACCGGGGGGGGCGCTCCGTGCGCACCAAAAGCAGCCGGGCCATGTCAACCGCGATCGTGCTTTTCGCAGAGTCTTCGGCTCTTGCCCCTGGCCTCCACCAGGCACCTCTGGCGGCACGCGGGTCTGGTTCGAAGGGACGTACGTGTCGAATGGCACGGTGCCCGAGGGGTCGATGTGGGCGCGCAACCCACTTCCGCGCAACGACCACCAAGACACATTTGCTGGCTTTGCGCCGGCGTGCGAGGAGGCGCCCCCCCCCCCCCCCCCCACCCACACACACACACACTCACACCGCCCACGCGCACTGGGCCTTGCACTTGTAATGCCGTGGGGCTCCTGTCGTCTAGACGTGGAGACGCGAGGGTCGCCTGGCCCTTGCCCCACCACCTCGTGTGTGTGGAGAAGTTTACCTTACCCTACCTTACCTTAGGCGGACGACTGCGACGTGACCTCGAGACTTGACCCGATGCGCTGCCGCTGCTCAGGCACATCCCCCCTCCACCACCCTCGCCCAGGGATGTACAACGCTGTCTTAAGGCCCGACAGGTTCGGCACCGGGCACCGCCTTGGTATAGAAAATGCGCCTGCGGGCGGACCCTCACAGATCACAGATCACTTCCCCGCGGAAGTGTCTCGGACGTGTCTCGGAAGTGCCTCGGAAGTGCCTCGGAAGCGTCTCGTGCCTGCTCAGGCATGTGGGGGCCGTACAACGTCGAGGTCGTCGACACGCTGGCGCTGCCGGCCGACCTGCCGCACGGAGAGTGGGTGCTCGGCTGGCGGTGGGACTGCGAGGAGTCGAACCAGGTGTGGGCCTCGTGCTCCGACGTGACGATAGTCTCGCCGGCGCGGGCCGCGTCTTAGGGCCTCTGTACCCCGCCGCAGTGCCCGCACCTCGGCTGTCTTTTCTTCTCGTCTTCTGACCGCCGCACGGTGCGTTTCATGCGATTGGGACACCAGCGAGCCCCGCCGCAGGCGCAGCACTGCACCAGCGCGCGGCGACGAGTCTCAGTCTGTCCTGCAACCGGCACCGGCAGCGCGCGGCAGGGTTTTACATAGGGGGTGTCATCTTCTCACACTTTTATCCTGGTGAGGGCTAAGCCCTAAGTGGCATTTTCAGAGCATTTTGCCGCCGCCCGCCCGCGGCCGTCTCCCCCCCGCCGTGCGCCTCGCGAGCCGCCAGCGCGAACACATCCGGCGCGAGAGGTGTGACGAAGTTAGTCAGTCTCTCACACCAGCCAGTCTATCTCACACCGGCAAGAGCGAACCTCGAGCTTGAGCGGCCTCGAGCCTGCCCGCGACGCCCCGCGTATGGAGGGAACGTACCGACTCGACGTGCGCCGCGCATGGCGTGAGGCCCGACCGCCGCAGAAGCCCAACCCCCCATTCATGTCCTCGCCGGAGTACCATACCCCCAGAGTACCAACCCAGTGCGCGGGTGGAGTGGTAGCAGGCCGCGAGCGGGTAGAGGCCTCCAACCTTCTCGAACCTTCTCACGCGGCCGCTCGACTCAGCCGCGCGTGTCGGAGAAGCTGACGTCGAGCGGCGTGAAGGCCTGCGGCGAGATCACCCGAGATTACCCGAGGCCACACGAGATCACACGAGATCACACGAGATCACACGAGGCCACACGAGAGGAGCAGCGTGAGGGCGTATATATTAGAGAGAGAGAGAGAGGAAGAGACATGGGGACGGAGAGAGCGATAGAGAGGGAGAGAGAGAAGCCCCGGGGGGGGGGGGGGGGAGGGGGCGTTCGGAT